GCTATACTTGAGGTTTTATTTTCAGTGTATATGTATGTCAATCTCCAAATCTATCTTATCCTTGATTATTAACTTTCAAAATAATTTTCGACGCATGAAATATAACTAGTCAACAAGTTTGAAAAAAACAAAACAATAAGAAGTTGCAATCCTCCTCCAAGAAAATTTTGTAAATCAAGTCAAGGTTACCCAAATTCTTCAAAATTCCAACAAAGGAAACGAATTCTAAACTTTTTATTCACAAATTAAACTCAATTGCAAATCATGACTTTATTATGCGAATCGGTAGAATTACAAAACGGCTTCTTGACAAAACAAATAAAGAGCGAAAGCAGATATTCTTGTTGGGCCTTGGAACAAGAAATTTTTAAGAAAAATATGAATGAACTAAAAGCCCAATTAAGATATTCTTGTTCTGTCTAATTACTTAAACCCTCTTAATTCTCAACACACACACTTGTCTAATACTTAAACCCTCTCAAATTGGTCTCAACACAAGACTCTACTCTCTCATATCCTTTTGATATTTTCACCAAATTACCAACACTTAAATCAAACCTCAAATCCCTAATTCTTGCTTCAATCTCCAGATCCGGTCATGCAGTTTATTAATCCCTTTGATATTTAGATTTGAAATTCACCGGCTTTTTTGCTTGGTCGGCGTTATTGTTTGCTTCCGACATTAATGCATAACCAATCAAGTTTTAGTTTTGTTTGTTTCCAGCGAATTTTGTTTTGTTTTTAAATTTTTGGGTTTCCTTTCTTCTAGCTACTAAATCTGGAGAACGTTTTGTTCATAGATAGTGGAATTGGATCCCTTTTTAGGTGGGTTAAAGCTTGGGTGTGATTGAACCTGCGGATAGTTAGCAATGGGCACTTGTAGATTTTGTAGAAATCTTTTGGCTTTCTTGGTATTGAGAGGTTCACATATTTGGTTAGTTAGGAAAGATCGGAGATCAAACCCGATAGTTTGTGTGTGATTTAGCATCTGAAATCTTGAACAATTGAGTGACTTTATATATATATATCTAAGGTTGCCTGATGGTTTCATTGTTCTGTGTCTCATCTCTTTGCTTTAAATTGTGCTGTGGTTGTTCTATGTAGTCTCTGTTCTTACTTGGATTATTATGGCTGATACTTGTTGCAGACAAAGTATAACAGGGGGTTTCAAAGAAAAGTTCCGAGATAATTCTTTACTGGGATCAACTGTGGGGCCAAGTCACCTTGATTCAGGATTCGGATTTGATGTCTCTTCAAGCACATTAGGGAGCCTAAATGCATAGACACTAAAACCAGCACAAATGAAATTGACAGTCTCAAAAGTGTGGTATCTGGAGACTTAAGATTGTTCCTCTCAAACTTTGAGTCTTTGCTTGGAGTTCTACAGGATGTTAAAAGGCAGATTGGCCAGCCTCACTTCAACACAGTACCATCTGAGAAAATTTCAAGAAAGTGAGAGGCGTGTCAAAAACAGAGCATTTTGTATTAGGTTCTGTCTTCAATATCTTGGTATGCCTGATCTTACTTGTCGTGAACTCAATTCAGCAGATTCTGTTAGTGCCATGAAAGATAAGATACTCGAGCTTGTATGAGTCTAAGCTGAACATGATAGTCTTACCAAGAAAATGGATCAGTTGGAATGCTATTACGAATCTCTGGTCCAGGAGCTTGAGGAACTCAAAGGCAGTTGCTAGTAGAGTTACACAATCTAAGGACTGAACATTCCACGTGCCCTATAGTATATCTGGAGCAAAGGCTGAGATGGAAACGTTGCGCCAAGATATGGATGAGCAAACACTAAGAGGAGAAGAAAGCTTTGGATTCTTTGAATGAAAAACTGGGTAAGCAAGCTTTGGCTGCAGAGTTAGCACTTAAAAGGGCTCGCTTAACTTGTTTTATTGTTGTCAACCATCTGCAGAAGGATCTTGAATTGCGTTCATCCAATGAGAAGCTCATTAAGCAAGCTTTTCCAGACCCTCCACAAAGCTTTCACGAATGCATTCAATCAACAGATGTTTCAAAGCCTGAGAATCAGGATGCTCGTGACGTAAACCTCACACAGTTTTGGAATGGAAAAAAGGGCATGAAGGAATGCAAAGGTGATATTCATGTGCAAGATTTGAAGCAGAGGCTGGATATTATTCATGTGCAAAATTCATCCTTATGACAGAATAATGATCTGATGAAGGAAAAATCCAAGAAAAAGTTATCTTTAAAGGCTGCCGAATCTGATGTTATGGAACTGAAGCAGAAGCATGAGAATGATGTACAATGTCGGGCCACTAAACTAGAAGTTTCCACTGCCCTCCTCCAGAGACATCAGTTGGAAACTGAGTCTATCATGGACAAAGTGAAGGTTATTACGGAAGCTGGACAAAACTATGAGAGCCGTCACATGGACTTTGTTTCTCGTCTTGACTATTTTGAGAATGAAATGTAGTTACTTGTAGCCAAGAATGAGGACTTGGTCTAGAGATTATTGAATTTAGCTTTGTAGCTGTTGAACATGGAAGAATCAAGCAGACTGAGCTTAAGAAAATGTATAAAAAATTGAAGGAGAAAGACAAAAGCTCATTATGACTCTTAGTCTCTTAATATGTATATAAATTCCAAGAATGTTGAACAAATCCAAGTTCTACTAGTAAACCTTGTGCTATTTTACAGTTGTTGAATATATTGTATATGAAACCAGAGCATATCCTTTGAGCAGTATCAAAGCAGAGGATAATCCTATACTATAACAATCTAAAAAATCCAACATGTTTATTACCTAAATCTCATTAACTGCCATTGTTTGACCAAACAACTTGAATCCTCTCTTTGGCTCACGGACAATAGGAATATCTGGCTCTCTCTTTTGTTCAGGGACAGAGGGAATATCTGGCCTTATTTCCCAACAGTTTTCCAGTTGCTCAGCTTCTACTTGGTCCCACATGACCTTTAAGAAGACACAAGACATAAAAACTATTGAGTTATGGAAACATCAAGTATAGACAACATAATCATAAGTAGATTTTTTCTTATTACCTTGAGACGTTTCCAGGGAGAGTTACGCTCGTTACGTATGCCTGTAATGAAACCAAAGTGAGTAATCCTCCCTAAACGGTGGTCCACAACTATGTTCTTTTTCACCCTCATTCCAATAACCCATTTCTTTTTCGCAAAGAAATCTACAGCCTCTGAATCATAGAAAAAGCTCGACTTTCCAGTCATCGGGTAGTAAACCGCTTCAAACTCAACCTTATTCAATGCATTTCCCATAGCTGTTCCAAGACTTTCCACAGAGCACAGGCCATTTCCGGTTCGCGCAATCTTATCTCCATGAGCTACGTTTCTGATGAAGGAGAATCCGGTAGGTTCGTGATTCTGGCTAATTGAGACTACACTTCTCCTTATTCCAACAATGACTCTACCATCTTTAGTTCTCATGAAAACTAACTCGTCTCCTGCGTGAAGCTTTTTGGAAGAGGTAAAGCGACTCCATCCATTAGTAAGATGATGGGAATTGCTTGCATTGTCATAGACGTGCTGAACTTCCCATTCGCGGTTGTGTATATCGTGTATAACGACAATGTTATCTTCCTTCTCCTTGTCGAATATTTTCTCAACTCTCAAACCCCCACCAATAAGATCAGAATACTCCAAAGGCTTATAAAAAACAGAGTCGATGAAATCCGTTACCGGCTCTTTTGACCTAGCGGGTCCAACACTAGTCTCTTGAGGCTGCATAGGCCTCATATTCATGTGCGCAAACACCTCGTCAGTCGCCGGATCAGCCAGAAATCTCATAGAGTTAACGTGACATTTTATGCTGGGAAAGTTAGCACAAAGCGTCTGCGTTGAGGCAGAGCCACCATAGTTGTCGACATGTCCTTGTGGGTAGTAATATACGGTGGAAGACAGAATGGGAGCCATACGGATTAACCCGGAACAAGCATGCCAAATAGCAACATGTATCTCGTTGTTTTCCATTCTGCAAACAACACAAAACCCATAGTTGGATTCATATTCTAAATCGCCAAAACACTCGAGAAATTCAAGATAAACAAGAAGAAAAGGAATTTAACGAATCGAACAATTCAAGAAGTTGGACTTTCCATATATCAATCAACTGAAACTAAATGTAAATTCGATAAAAGGAAACTTCCATGACGACTCAATGTATATTTGGCTAATCAGCTCAAAGTAACCATACAAAATATGGAATTCTTGAACTATCTTTATTAAGGAAGATGCCTAAATCAAATCCGACTATATTTCCATATTCAGATTCACCATAGACGGAATCTAAAATCGAACTCGGTATATCTCAACTCATACATGGATTGATCAATCAACATAAAGATTCGAGAAAAGGAAACTTTACCATATAGCGATTTAACGAATCAATCATTACTCAGGTTTCGATACGTATATTCACCATAATCGGAATCGAAAAGCTTGAAAATTACCTGAATTCGAGGAGAATCCGAGAAGAAAGATCAAC